CCTGTACTGATAAATTGTCGGGCTAATGGTAGAGATTCTAGTGCCCTTTAAGGACTTCCTGAAATATCGCCGTAGTGACCTTTGACAGCGGTTAGTACAGATAAATATACACACCATTATTCACCCTGTGTTGACGGGTCTATAAAAATGGAGGTGGCATCATGTGCAATGCGTCACAATGTATTGAATAAAAACAATTTATTTGTATATGCCGGACTGCGTTGCTGCACGCGTTAATGTTGGAAGATGGTGGAAGGGGGGGGGGAATAAAAACGGGGGGGGGGGGGGGGATGATGAAAGAAAAGAGGGTACAACTCACGAATCTCATTCCATCTCGCTTACCTGTGTGATTTGTTCCCACGGGCTGTACTATGTTCTAGGGGTGTTACCTGTTTTATACGTTTCAAGCAGATCCACCACCACCGACAGCCACTGCTAGTAAATGTAGAAATACAGAAACATCAATGATTCGACACTCGCGAACCGTCACGCATTTAGCGCTGACCCATGCAGTGCTTCTTCCTTGTACACAGTCTCCCGAACTACACACAACAACAACACATCTGAGAAACGAAAGTCGGGTAAATTTTACGCCGGTCTCCCCATTTACACACCGCTCGACACAAGTTCGCTTCTGATTGGACGAACTATAGCCCATCTCACCTCACCTCTGATAGGTTGGCCTCGAGCGATCCTACTTTTACACAAGGTCACGGGGATATTCCGCACTTGCGCTGATACCGCGTGTTGTATATTTCACCATGCCAGAGCTTTTAACACTTCTAAAACATTAAGATACTGGGTCTAAAACACAACCCCCCTAGAGCGTGACAAAACCTACGTCACAGTCTGTCTCTTTCTCTCAAATAAAAACATAAGTGCGAGACAACAACAGACTGCGACACCCATAACCTCGACCATGGTAGACTAGTCCAACAAACTTATTAATGGATTTGACCTACAACAGGTGGTGTGTAAATGGGGAGACCCTTGTAAAAATAATCCGAAAGTCGTTCCGAGAAGAGACAGTTGCGACAAGAAAGCTGCGCAAAGACGAGCAAAGTTTTTTCCGCCACGGTGTATGTAGACGGACAAGAAAGGCATCTCATAAAGCCTCTAAAACATAGGACAGCCCGTGGGAACGGCCACGAAATCTCGCACCCGAGCGAGATAGGGTGACTTTCGTGACTTTTACCGGGATGAGAAGGCGTTAGCTATTGTAAACGTTCAAAATCTCAGAGCAGTTGCATCCTTACCCGCCTGGAACTGCCGGTTATACCTGGCTGTTGTTGTCGTTACTGGTGCCCTAACTATACTTTCTTTGGAGGTTGAAAGGGGTATCTGGGATCTGCCTTGTTGGTCAACTGTCCGGGCTGAGATTTTTTCTTTCAATCCCAGGGTGATATGATGAACTTTTAGATAGAGACGAACCAGTAGTTAGTCACAACATTTCATACTTTTGATCGTCAAATGTCGGTCCTTTGTCCCGAAGTCACAGCACTGATAAAACCCCAGAGATAATACACGTGTCTGACGCCCTAAACACCCGCGAATGTACTTATGTGTACACTGTTGAGCGTTTGTGGCTCAGGTGTTGCGAACGCGCTTCGTAATAACGGGGGTGCCGGATTCGAACCCAGCAGCATGAGATTTGACAGGAAACCGTCTTTGTTGGTTTCGACAGTGGTACAGAGTGCTGACCATTCAGGAATCAATGGCAAACTACTAAAAGTAAAATTTTCCTAGAAAAAAAAAAGCAACAAACCCGCAACGGCCAAGAATGCTGGGTTTGGTTCTAGAACGTTCTGTAAAGGATACGCGACAAATTTTATGCTTTCGCCTGTGTCCGTGTAGAGCAGTGGCAAGCAGGTTTGCCTGTCGACCCAGTGGATGTAAGTTCGAATTTCTATTGAATCGATTCATTTAAAAAAAAAAATTTTTTTGACAGGGACTCAGAGAACTTGGTACTAGGAAATTTTCTTGGTAGTAAACGTGGCTGGTTCAATATTTTCCACATTACCTATACAGTCATAATCAATCGCAGGTCCTTCAAAGAACGTGGCTTTGGACACGGTACGACTGAAAGTCTCTCTTTCTCTTGCCAATTCTCCAGCCCTGTAGGCTCTCATAGCCAATGCATCTTCAATGTCCTGTCTCCACCTTCACCCAGGTCTGCGTCTGCCTCGTTTTCCAGAAACGAAATTCCCCATCACCGTTCTCACCAGCCATTATGATATTTTACATAACTAAAATACCCCAGATGTCGGTACAGGATACTGTTTATGAGCCAGTTTTCTTCGATTGTTCAGATCATGTAGAATGTACGTCCTTGTGTTTCTTCTTCTTGGTCCATTGCAGTCGAAGAATTTTTCTGTAGCTCTGATTGTTTTCTTCTTGAAGGACTAAGTAAGTGTGCATGACTCCAAAGCCCCTTAGCTGGCACGGAAACGATGCGTGCTCTGAAAATCTTTACATTATTAAATTGCTTTTAGATGCTGCAGCTACTCTTTTCGATTTCCAACTGCCAAGGGATTTTTTTTTAATATACGCAGCAATACACACGAGCGGTCGATCTTATTATCCTGAGATCAGAGAAATTACTAGAAGTCCACGTAAAAACATTCCAGCCTTCAACATGGCTCGAACCCGGACTCCAGCACTCGAGGCGGACGCTATGCCTCGAGACCACGGAGCACCCCCCCCCCCCCCAGTTGCTATTTGTTATATTTGCACAAACGTCTGAAGGCGTTTAAGCAGGTTCTTTGTTTTTTTCTTTCTATATTTGCAGAGACTAGAATTTGCAATGACATTAATATTTATCTTATACTTTCAGGATATCGGCTTTCGACATGACGTCACAGTTCAAAGTTCAGTCTTGACAGACAATAGATCCATCGCCTAATATTTCATCCCTGGTTGATGCTGGGAACTGATAGTAACACCGCAGCGGGAATCAATCTTAGTCAATCTTTCTACAGACATTCTATTGGCCATCCTTTTCCTTACAGAACTACAAGTTACGTCAGGCTGGTTTGGCCGTTCGGAGTGCTCCATTGTAACTTTTTTGGAGGTTGAGGGGAGTGTCCCGGATCTGACCCCTTGGTCTGCCATCTAGACTAAGATGTCAAACCTTCAGGTAGAAGTCCTAAGGGAAAAAGGAAGACAGGAAACAATCTCATTACTGGAAACCACCCATTTATAGTTTGCAACAAAATTCCCTGTCATTGTCTAAAGTTATAATTATTGTATATAATTCAATTAAATACCTTAATTATTATCCTATAGGAAGTATTTAATAAAGAGAATATAATGATCGCTTACAAATATGTAAACATTATAAAAAACATTAATTAGCAGGCACATATCTAATCGTAAACAAAACACGACTAACGTGTTTTACAAATAATAAAAACAATATTAAATTTAATTAAGATAAAAAATAAACAAAGAAATGATTAAATAGTAAATAAAAAATTAACAAAACCAGTCGCTACTTCTTCAAAAGTCCTTCCATTCACAGTTTGGCGTTGTAAGTTCTGCAGGGATCATTATTTAGCACAGATACATTTCATTTTTTTTCAAACTTTATTTGACTTCATTTCATTTAATTTAATTAATTAAATAATTCAACTTGTTTAAAATTTCTCTGTGGTTTTTCAAGTGCATTTTTTTTAAAAAAAAACAAATAACTAGTGTTTCGTAATAAAGCCCTTAATTTCCATACTGTTTCTCTCCCTGTTAACGTATTTCTTTGTTTCGCGTTGACCACGACAGTTTAGAAGCCCCGTTGTTTTGTCCGTTGAGATTTCCAGTCCCATTTTAGGCTGTGTTTAGTACTCCGTTGATAAAGACGTTGACATAAACTTCCAGTATTTAAACACATTTATTACAGAAATATAGTTGCACTGTTTAAATGATTCGGGTACGTCTGTGATATCATACATCTGGCGAATAAATAAACAATACATGCACAGAATATAACCTATTCTTCACATAGAATATAGCAACAGTACATGCATATTAAACAAGATACTTCAATGAAATATGTAAGTTCATCTTTGCATGAACATAAAGGAAAGTTGTAAGCTATGATTGTAACTCTTGGCTGACAAAATCGATCCGGAAATTACAACAGTTGTGAAGGATGCACTGTGTAACGTCTTGTTGATTACTCTTGATTAAACAACATGGGTCGTCACTAGCGTTACAGGCCTCACATCAAGAACAATAAAACGTATATCAACAGTCATCAAACATGTAAATTCTAAAAGAAATGAATTAGAAACGTCAGAATGACCGTTTTATCTAGAAAGACTTTGTCGACACACAAGGCAAAAAAGACAGTGATGCGACTACGTTAAAAAAACCACATAGCTTCACATTGCTTATCGTTTGTTCTGAAAACATCGACATCTTAGGAAACAAAAATCTTCTTGCCACGAGCTTCTTTGGTTAGCTGACGGGAAGTGACAGAAGAACAGTGACAATGTTGGGATATTCACAACTATTGTCAATATCAGCAATTCTGCTTGTTATCTGGCCATCCGTGTTAACAAAGAAGGGCTGCAGCTTCAAGCACGGAGGTTGCACCTATAACATCCAGCTGAACCACAACAAACACAGCATGGGAAGAGAGACTGGGCACAATGAATGTGGCAACAAAGAGCAGCAGGTGTATCTGGACAGTACCCAGAGTGACTATACTTCCAAAATCGATGACATGGAGAAGAACTTTTCCTTCCTACGTGACGCTCACGAACAGCGGCTGAAGGTGAGTCTATGTTGTGCCATTCTACAAAGAAAAAAGGGAGGGCGTGCTTCAGATGTTATCCTTAAAAGTGTGAGAGAAATGACAAAAACCATACCATTATCTTTCTTGTATACCAGTGGTCCTCAACCTTTAGGTCGCGACCCCTTTTTTGTTGTCGAACGACCCTTTCACATGGATCGCCTAAGACCATCGTAAAACGCACATTCATTGAAGTTATGGAGTAGTTAGGAAAATATTGCTATGTTGCGAGGTCGCCTCAACGCTAGGAACTGTATTAAAGGGTCGCGGCATTAGGGGACTGAGAATCACTGGTGTTACCAGTCAGTATTGTTAAAGATGTCAAAAGTGTTAAGCACGTAACATCACGGTGCAGGTGTACTCGGTAAAGTCAAAATGATAGTTTAAAGAAGGCCGCCACACTTTGACATATCTTTATGTCTCATTTTGACATTTGTATCACATTTTGAAAGGTTTTATTTTAATTAATTGTTTTCTTTTAAATTTGAATCTCCCTCGTCAATAGAGTAGTTATAAAAATTTCCGTCTGGGATATGGAGCTTTCTTGTATTATTACAGTCAATATTACTAAACACGGAGTATCCCCAATCGGGCTCCGTTCACTGATGCAGCCACGAGATATCTCTTCTGGTATCCCCACGAGCAAGTGGCTATGATGTCTTTTATCTTGGTAGCGAAGCCTAATTCCGACGTGCTTCACCTCAAGGTCAGGTAATCATGTTAGCATCAGAAAGACGTTATTGTTCGCCAGTCTATAACGTTATAATGTAAGCAAAGTAAATTACTTTTTTTTTTTTAAACGCATGCAGCGCATGACACATATGATGCTAGTAGGTGTAGGTAGGGTCGTACTTTACCACACCACCACCACCACCACCACCACCACCACCACCACCACCACCACCAACAACAACAACAACAACAACAACTAACAATAAACAATTATAATTAAAAAAAGTTACGTTCAACCAGCAGCCCGAAGGGGGAGCTTTAATGTTATAATTGTGACTAGGTTATGTGCGCCATTTAAAATGGCTTAGCACTGCACGCCAACAAGAGCCATGTTAGCATTGCACGCCACCAGGAGCCATGTTAGCATTGCACGCCACCAGGAGCCATGTTAGCATTGCACGCCACCAGGAGCCATGTTAGCATTGCACGCCACCAGGAGCCATGTTAGCATTGCACGCCACCAGGAGCCATGTTAGCATTGCACGCCACCAGGAGCCATGTTAGCATTGCACGCCACCAGGAGCCATGATAGCATTGCACGCCACCAGGAGCCATGATATCATTGCACGCCACCAGGAGCCATGATAGCATTGCACGCCCACCAGGAGCCATGTTAGCATTGCACGCCACCAGGAGCCATGATAGCATTGAACGCCACCAAGAGCCATGAAAAGGACCCTGCAGTGTTGATGCGATCAAAAAAGACAGACCCTAATACTGTCCCAACCGGTGACGAAGTCGTCTACCGGCGAGCTAGATCGGCACCCCCGTCGCCGGTGTGTGAAATTAAGCTAGTGCTAGATTCGTATCCTTATAGATCGATGGTCTCTCAGTGGGTAGTGTGTCCAGCATCACGCTCTTTAACGTATAGCGTTGATGACGGCTGCACTGTCCAAGCATCTTTCAGCATGCAATAAGTGGTACGATACTAGCCAGCAGGTCCGGCCGTTCACTGCCGTTTACTCCTGCAGGTTTAAGTGTGTCGATCTAACACAAGCAGGTTAAGTACGACTTCTCAGTGCTGTCTAGGCATTGAGAGCAGAGGCTGACTGTTGTGATTTTCTGAAGATTGTTCATAAAGTCTGAAAGAAACACCGCTTGTGTGCCTGCTTTTTTTGCTGCCATGTGTGCGCTCTAGGGGAAGTGGTTATATTTATGGTCAGGCGTAAAGAATGAATCAAAGATGTAGTAGCAATAGTTTAAGTATTATTATTAATATTATTATTATTATTATTATTATTATTAATATTATTATTAATATTAATGTTATTATTATTATGATTATCATTAGTAGTAGTAGTAGTAGTAGTAGTAATAGTAGTAGTAGTAGTAGTAGTAGTAGTAGTAGTAGTAGTAGTAGTAGTAGTAGTAGTAGTAGTAGTAGTAGTAGTAGTAGTAGTAGTAGTAGTAGTAGTAGTAGTAGCGGTAGCAGCAGCAGCAGCAGCAATAATAGTAGTAGTAGTAGTTTGTTGTTATTACAGCTAAGAAAAGATAAATTTCTTTACAGTCTTCGATTATGACAATGGAAAAGATAAACGTGTTACCTAAGCCTTGTGTTAGACACAGAGCGATTCAAGAAGGCATGGTTGCCCACACCTGCTGGCAACGCAGGTGTTAAGGATGATGAAAAGATATAAAACCGAACAAAAAGCGCATCAGCAAGCTTTACAATATAACAAACACAAACAAAACGTGAACGCTATGGAGCCTTCATCGGCACATACATAAATCAAACAATACCACACAAATACACAAAATCACTTAGCTGGTATCTCGAAGAGCCGATTCGATGACCTGTCAGTAGACTGGCCAAACACGTAGGATAGGTGAATAAATACCCCCAGCGAATGCCAGGGGCCGTAACTGGAGGGTTTTAGAAACAACTGTGTTGGCAGTTCAGTCCTTTGGGTGTTAAAGTTCCCAAAGTGTTAATAAAGCAATTTTTAAGAAACTCGCCGAAATAGCTAGATTTAATGGCTGTCACCACCATATCGAGGACACCTTGGTGATCATGGGAATAGAATTCCAACAGTACTGGTTTCTGGGCAATGTTCTGCATATCCAAAAGATGTTGTCTGAACCAGTCAGCCAGTCGTAGACCCGTTTCACTAATGTATTTGATGCCACATCTCTCGCAGCGGATGGTATATATGACATTGCGGCTATTACAAAAGGTATAACTATAAGGATAATAACAATGATGCCTACGTCCTTCTTCTTCTTCCTCGTCCTCCTCCTCTTGAGCCCAGGTATTTCGGATTTGAATTATATTGTTGAGAAGTTGTATTGTTGGATTATATTGATGGTTAAAATGACAATAACGAGAAAGATGTGATAGCTATGAGGATATGATCATCTTCTTCCTCTTTTTCCAAAATTTATTTTCCTTATATTTCAAATTAAGTATAGACCCTCAACTATAGACCCTTGCTACCCCTGCATCTCTTCCAGATTACTTCACCAGTGTTCTTTAGCATTGTTATTCATCATTGTAGTGGTCAGTTAATTAAGTCCGATCTTTTATTTATTGTTGTCATTTAGGAACTAGAGAGGTCAGTGAAAGACCTGCTGGGACTGGATAAACCCAGTTCCAACAGCGATGATATCACTGTAGATATTTCACAGCCAAAGCCTTCAAACCTTTTCACCAACGATGCGCTCATGACAAGAATTGAGGTAATTTTTATTTTGTTCTCCCACGATGTTACTTATCATGTGATCATTATTTAGAGGTATGTTCGCTCGATGTATAGATTTATCTCAGATATTGCCTTTTTATATGATTATAAACAGATTGCGATCTTTGCTGTGTCTTTTGACAGATCGTATTAACTGTTCTAAGTTAGTCTAAGCCTTTGTGAAAGATGGTGTCATTTGCGTCCATAAGCTCGGAAATTTTAAATCTACCATTTACACCAGGATCAAAACCGTCGCAAGAGGCATCATTTGAAACGTTTCACCTAACGTTTTGTGCATATTTTAGCTTGGGTCGTGAGAAAAAATAACTTCGTGTTACTTCACTTTAGATTTCAAATCAGTTTGAGCAGACTATACTTAAACAATAGACTGCACAATTTATTGCCTAGCATTTTAACTGTGAGACCCGGGCTGGAATCCTCAGTAAGGCTATGGATTTTTTTCTGTCGGGGCGAAATATTTATCTGCACAGTCGTGGCGACAGCACTAGCCATGCGGCCGTAAACCCTCAGGCTCAACGACCCCCGTGCCTATGCAGCAAAAGTGGTAATAAAAGCAGTGTTTTTTGTTGTTTGTTGTTTGCATTTTAACTGTATCTCGTTAGGCGCAGAATGCAGTAACAATTGATTAAAATGAAGCTAATAAACCAATCCTTCAAGGTGAAATACAAAACTGACTGATTCAATAGGAACTGCCTGTTTTAAAAGAGTAAATAAACAGTTTATTATCATGTCCTTCTGTCTGCACAAATCTGGATGAAAGCAGTTTATTGCTGTGGGTTCCACAGAGCGTATTACCACTTTTGCTGCATAGGCACGGAGGTCGTTGAGCCTGAGGGTTTACGGCCCATGGCTAGTGCTGTCGCCACGACTGTGCAGATAAATATTTCGCCCCCGACAGAAAAAAATCCATAGCCTTACTGAGGATTCCAGCCCGGGTCTCACAGTTAAAATGCTAGGCAATAAATTGTGCAGTCTATTGTTTAAGTATAGTCTGCTCAAACTGATTTGAAATCTAAAGTGAAGTAACACAAAGTTTTATTCCACAGAGCGTAGAATTCCGCATGCGATGTTCATCCAGCTGTTGATAGCGATACAGTGTTTCCAGGAGTGAACCAAAATTAGCGAGAACCTTAAGTCTTTCCTAGTGATCCAAAATGGCTGATGTTGAAGACAGTTGAAAGACTTTTTGTAGTTTCTGAACTGGTTATGAACAAGCACAAAGATTTGACTGTTTGATGTTTTCTTGACCAGATAGATATTCGACTCTAGACAACAACTGAAGGCCTCAATTGCTGCGCACTGAAGGATTTTTTTTTCTTCTTCGGTACTATTGATGTTGCAACCCTTCGACCTTGATTTTATGATAGATACTGTAATTCAGGGAGAAATATGGCTTTTCTGCCTACCCCCAGGCGTGAACCCAGACCACAAGGACCTCGTCACCTGGTCGCGGCGAAGTCAGGTTCAATCAACTACGTTAATGAGCCGTTGAATGTTTAACGATACGTCAGTGAAATTCTTCGATTACATGTTCTTCCGTTTTTGGATGTTGAAAAGTATTTTTTTTTTAAAAGGACAATGACAGACCCTGATCTGCACTGTTGGCTTCAAGTCTTTCGTTGTGTTCCACAATGTCTGTTGTTTGGGGCCATTCACCATCGTCCTTGGTTGGACAATCAGAGAAGATGTGTCTGCTCTAGTGACGAGCCTTTCTTTGTGTTACAGCGTCATGATAGATAGGCATGTGGTATACCCTGGGCGAAATGAACGTTTAGTCTTCAGTTGAACCGATGAAGCTCCGTCGCACGGTGGTGGGTGCTGCACTGGTGTGGGGAATAATAAGTTAGAACGGGAGGAGTCAGTTGGTGCACACTGAAGGATACTTGAATGCTCAAAGATACATCAATGGAACTCTTCCATTCCTGTTTCCTCCATTAGAGATGCTAACAAAGATCTTTTTCAAAAGGAAAATAACAGACCCAATTCTGTACGGCTGACCGCGCAGTTTCTCAGTGCCAAAAATATTGAAACCCTTCCCTGTCCAGCCCTGTCTGCAGACATGAGTCCAACTAAGTACCTGTGAGACTATCTGCATAGACGTGCTTGTCGCCGAGACTTTGCTCCGGCCAATCATTGTGATCTGTTCTAGGCATTTCAGGAGAGATCTGTTCTAGGCATTCCAGGAGAGATCTGTTCTAGGCATTCCAGGAGAGATCTGTTCTAGGCATTCCAGGAGAGATCTGTTCTAGGCATTCCAGGAGAGATCTCTTCTAGGCATTCCAGGAGAGATCTGTTCTAGGCATTCCAGGGGAGATCTGTTCTAGGCATTCCAGGAGAGATCTGTTCTAGGCATTCCAGGAGAAATCTGTTCTAGGCATTCCAGGAGAGATCTGTTCTAGGCATTCCAGGAGAGATCTGTTCTAGGCATTCCATGAGAGATCTGTTCTAGGCATTCCAGGAGAGTAAGCAGACATTCCACAGGCCAACATCAGACGTCAGATTGCATCCATGCCCAGGAGATGCCAGTCGCTGATCGACTACAGGGGATTCCCCACACCAAACTGACGGGAAAATCCATACGCCTAAATAACTATTGATGGCCCAGCTGCAAAAGAACTGGCAAATCGTTGGTTGAAACGTAATGATATATTTTGTGCAGTTTGGAGAATTTCGCTCGTTAAATTACAAGGATCTGGAAAGTCAAAGTCCTGACTGTGAATGTTCCTTTCAGAAGCAACCATATGTTCATTATATGTTCATTTACATATACACCTATCAGTCTAGTCATCTCTTCATCCATGGATTTATTTATAATATATTTATCTGTTATCTACTCATTCAAGTCCCTATCCTTCTTTTTGTTTATCTGCCAATCACTCAATTTATCTATAAAATGGCAATGTTTCTATACAATCGCTCACTCATCCATGTACGTCTCTATTGTCTCGCCCATCACAGGAAGAGTTTGCCAAACTAAAACAAGAACTGAAGAAGAAAACGTCAGAGCTGATAGACACCAGGATCAAACTCAACGAGACGAGTACTTTGGTACACGAGGCCAGGCTCCAGAATTTCATGACCAGCAAGGAACTTCTTAACGCTGAGAACGAGGTCAGTCAGTGTTTAGATCAGACAGACAAACTGGTTGGTAGACATACTACGGTCAGAAAGACAGAGAGATAATGTAACTTTAGAGGCATCCATAAATATGAGCGTAAGAAGAAAGGGGCAGACAGATAGACAGACTGCCTAGCAAACCAAAATAGATTGGATGACAGGCAAGTTGGCAGCCAGACAGACGTAGAAGTAGAAACAGAGGTTTTCATAAGGGTTGGTAGACAGAGATTCTGGCAAGTATACGGAAAGATAATAGGATATGCAGTCAGACAGATGGATATATTTACATATTTAGAAATATTTTACCGACAGACGCTTGAATAAACACACTGATATGTCCTCAATCAGGTAGACAGACAGACGGACAGCGATCTTGAATGTTGATAGACAGGCAAAACTAACAGACACGTTTAAGGGCAAACTTGGAGTGAAATGACGCACTTTCTGCCTTAGACACTTGCTAGTTTAACCATACTTGTTCTATGACTAGCTGTACCCGCCACGCGTTGCTGTGGCAAAGTTTGGCTAAATGGAAAAGAAAGAAAATAGAAATCGCAAGTGTCTAATATGGTTACTGTCGCAATTATTGTCTGCGCACATACAGAGATAGTCTTCGATTCCCCCCCCCCCCCCCCACTTCCCAAACCCACCTACTACTCCCTTCTTCATCAAAGGCTTTTGAAAAAGAAAAACAATAGAAATTGCACGTGTCTTATATAGTTAATGTCGCAATCATTCTCTGCACAGATATAGAGATAGCCTGGTTGGCCACTTTAGAACACGCAACATATAATTGTGTCTTTATATTAGTGGTCGTTTAAATGGTATTATTAGCACAGTAAAGAAAAAAAATGTTTTTTTGGTTATCACATGCTAAAGCTGTATTTGTTAATAACCAAGTAAGTCGTTAAAAAATTAGAATAGCGGAGGTAGCGTTAGTAAAATTTAAAAAAATTAAGAAATGAGCACTCTAAAATGATGCGTTAAGCTCTTTAAGTTAACAGTTTCTGTCATCACCCCCTCCCCTCGCCCATCCACGAATACTGCTCTCTCCCTCATCGAAGGATTTGAAAGTCATCACCCGACGATATTTTTTGTAACTGACCTTGATACCCCTATCCATCTGGACTAAAATATGGAGCAGGAATTGTAATGAGTAGTAAATGCGGCTAGTGTAATATTTACCACACTATCCTTCAAGTACCAGTACAACTACTACCACCACCACCACCACAATAACTAAAATAATGTCACTGCTATCTGTTTTGCCATCGGAGTAGACAGGGAGTCGGGAGCCAGAGGATTTGGCACCGCAAGGTTAATGCTGTCGGCATGGATGGTAAGGTTAGGATGTGTAATTCCCCGACAGATAAATGCCATCACCTTACCGGCGGTCTCTGGCATGACAGCACTACGGTGTAACCACCCAACCACAACAACTACTACTGCTGCTACTTTGAGTTGGTAAGGCAGCTACTGTGACTTAAAGCTCTCCCAGTTAACAGTTTATGCTACCCCTCCAACCCCCGCCCCCTCCCAATTCACCGACTACTTTTTCCTTCGTCGAAGTAGTTTGGAGAAAAAAAAAACAAAGTGAAATGCAACGAAAACAGGAAAAATACACCACAATTACGAAATTAACGCTATGATAAACAACACAGCCTAATTCCAACGCAATGTCAGAAGAAATAATTAAATCAAAATAAAAATAAATAGAAATCTATGAAAATTTAGCGTAACCATGCAATATGAAAGTTTGAAATGAAATCATAAGTATGCGAAATGGTCAAATTTAATTATCAACTGGTTTACTCACATACCTGTACTTTTTTTTCGTATTTATCGCCGCATGGCTAGTTCTGTCGCCACGATAGTACATAGTTTTCTTTTTTTTGCCCCCCCCCCCCGGGATTCGAACCATAGACTCCAACATGGAAACCCAGTGTACTAACCATTCGGTCAGCTAACCACTTCTTCTTATTAACGAAAAGAGAACAAAACTATGCAAGATGTGTGTCCCGATTTTAACACAACTCCAAACCGCAGGCAATTGTTTTCTCATAAACAGATATCCCAAATATAAACTTCAAGTATAAACTTCAAAACGGCACAATAATATAAATCGTACGTGTCTAACACGGTAAATGTCGCAATCATTGTCTACACAGACATAGTCTTTTATCCCCCCCCCCTCTCCGCCCTCCCCCTTTCTCAAATCCACCGACAACTCTTTAACTCATCGAAAATTGTTTGAAAAGAAAGAAAATAGAAGTCGGGTCTAATATGGTTAACGTCGCAATCAACGATATAGTAATAGTTTGGTTTGTTGCATCACGCCGGCGAATGATTAATAAATGGAGCGTCCTGGCTGCGCATGCGCATTTACGAACGTTGCTTTCATTGAATGTCACTAAAATGGAAATATTAGTTTCGAAAATTTTACTAATAAATGTAGTTACCTGTCTCTAACAATGACAGGTATAATTTCAAAACATGATGGGTAAAAATCCGGTATCAAAACAAACATATCCTGAAAATTTCAGCTAAATCGGTTCAGTAGTTTCCGAGTCTATAGATAATAAACACACACACAAACATTGATTTATATATATATATATATAGATGTTGTATGTGAATATATTTAAAATTTAAATTCGTGAGAATTACGTAAGAGATGCGAGACAGAAGGACTGTGACTTCAGTGAGTTAATGAAAAAACCATATGTTATAAGATAATGCATGAACAGTAAGGTGTCTTTGGGGGAGATAAAGAAATGTATGGATAACATACGCACGAACGAACTTTATATTCAAACGTCACAAATTGGGCACGCAATCCTATCTTACATTCAGTCTTTCCAAACACACGTCCTTCATTAAGCAATGCTTTTTCTGCGCGTTCACCGGCTGTAAACTATTGCGTAAAGTCGGGTTGTTTATCCACCTATATACTTTAATTTTGTTCCAGAACATGATTGTTACGTTCACATCCGTTTTACGGATCAGGCTTATTTGTAGGCATACTGTTAATTCTTTGCCTCTCTGGCAGATGCACTTTGACTTTGAAGAAAACCCCGAATTAGTCGACTCTTTCTTTATTCTACTTAAGTTTACTCTACTTATTTACAATAGTTTGACAAGATCAAAGGAATTGGCTGATATTCCTCATTCTGAACATCCATGAACTAAAGAATATCACTTTTTTTGCGTCATGAATATTCTAAGGCTGCACACAAACAATTATTGCGATAACAGGCAATTTTCGGGAAAATGGCTAGCAAGTGTGTTTATCAATTGTTGAACGAACTATAGTATAATCAGATACCTTTGTAGCCAGATTCAAAGTCTCATTGCAAGCTTTCTCGAAGGATTGCCTCATCAGTCACACACTGTGTGTGGTTCAGTCATCTGCTTCATGATCTGTCTACAGATTACAATCTTGAAGCGTGAGAGAGCGGTGCTCAAGAACCAACTCAAGGACCGCAATTACAAACTAGACGTCTCTTCACAGAAGGCAACGGAGTGTGAGGTCAAATCCACAGACCAACAGGACAAGATGGTGGAGGTAAATCATGATCACTGTCATCAACATCATTTTTGTCGTCTTCATCATCATCATCATCATCATCACCGTCCTGTCATCAGTTTTCACTTTTGCCATTGAACAGCTTGGGGTAGAATTGGTTATTATCTTTTTGTGTAGATGTAGAGTCGGCTCTGTGGCTAAGTCGATGCGAACGCTTCGCTTCGTAATGCTGGGATGCCAGGTTCGATCCCAGCTGCGGGACAATGCGCCTTGCGTTGGTTTCGACAGTGGTATCAAGAAAGCCGACCGTCCAGAAAGCAATGGCAAACTACTGGATGTAAATTGCCTAGATAAACCACACAACAGCCAGGGGCTGTTAGGGTTGGATCTGCAACGTCCTGTAAGGATACGCAACTAACTTCTTTGTAGGTGTAGAATATCTTTAATATTATCCACATATCTTCTACTTGGGTGCATTCTTGTTCGACTTTCAGACCTTCCTATGTGGGGCGCCTTTATTGGTAGTTATTGTATCTGAATTTAAAGAAGACGACCATAGTAAATGAAGTTAACTCGTCACTGTGTCTTTCTTCTTCTTTTGTCGTCTCATGGAAACCAGGTTGTAGTCTTGTGTCATAGTTTTTTTGCATTTGTCTTGCGCTTTTCGGGTGGCTTGGGTAATGGATTTCTTCATCTCTTTTTTTGCATGGTTTCATGTACATCCATTTATTTGTCTCTTTCTTGGTCTTTCTCTTGTTCTGCTGTAAAAAAAAAAATATATATGCAGTTTGGGTCTTGCTGCATTCTCACTAGATGGCCTAAACATTTGATTTTTGGTTTGTCAGTATAATCCAGACATGGTCTTTTCCAACTTACTCTCTAATGCACTTGTCTCTTCCTGTGTTGTCTTGTGTTTACACTTTTAATTAAATATTATCAACTGCTTTTACTCTGATTTATCCTATGTATTCTTTGAATACAGTTGATCCCTTCTAAGCCACGTAGGAAAAAATGTTTGCCAAAATTCTGAAACAACGAATTAGATCCGTTGTAGAACCGATCCTGAGCCCATCACAGGTCGGATTTAGGAAAGGGAAAAGAGGGTGTACTGACGCTATTTTTGCTTTAAGACAAGTTAGCGAAAAGACAATAGAACACAGACATCAAATGAACATCGCTTCATAGATCAAGAAAAAGCTTTTCGATAGAGTAAACAGAAATTTATTATGGAAAGTTCTTGAAAACTACGTTCGGTATAAATGGAATAATTTTAGATTGTGTTAGGGCTATTTATAGACAAAGTGAAAGCGCCATTAGAACAAGAAGCTGGCATCACAGACTGGTTCTAAGTAACATCAGGAGTAAGACAAGGTTGTGTATTTATCACCTTTACTTTTCATAATATTTATGGACAATATTAATAAAATAGACAATAACACCAACAGATGTCGATAAACAGGAGGACTTCAATGAGCTGCTCCTTTGCCGACGATCAATGCATATTTCACAGTGATAGTAAAACAGCTGCAAGACCACATAAACCTACTACACGACAGTTGCCTCAAGCATCATATGAAGATCAATACTGAAAAGACAGAAGTCATGAGCATAAGTAGAGAGCAAACAGACCATCGACATTAAGATTCTAGATCACAGCCTAAAACAAGTGCAAGAATTTAAATACTTGGGGAAGTAATCTTTACATCCAATGGTAAAATAGAGAGATCGAAGCAAGAATCCAAACAAGCCAACAATGTCGCATACCAGCTAGCTTGCCCCAATTTTAAAACACCCTGCTGTCCCCCAGCTGAGATAAAAAGACAAAAAATTATAAATACAATCTTTATAAAATACCGACATTAGGTTATCAATGTCAGGACTTGGACATTAACAAAAGAACACGAGAGAAGACTAACCACCTGTGAAATGAGATGTTTTGAGAATGGCTGCGAATAAAACCAGAAGAGATCGAGTGAGAAACGATGTGATTACAAGAACTATTGGAACCATACCCATCGTTAAATTTATTGAGAAGCAAAGAATGAAATGGTTTGGTCACCTAATGAGAATGGAACCAACGATGCCAGCATCAAGAGCATACAACATGAAAATCGAAACACCAAGAGGCAGGGGAAGACCAAGAAGAAGATGGATTGAAGGAGTCACGGACAACTTGAGACTTCATAACATCACGGCATATGAAGCGACTGAGCGCGCCCTGGCTCGGTTGCTGATCATCTGATAGACTGCGACGCCTAGCGGCACAAGCAGATTTTGACAAAAGAAAGAAGAAAGAGTGCTAGAAATTACAAAGATTCTTGAAAGGCAGACTATTGAATCAACCTGGTCCACTATCAATGACATGTGAGTGATTGAGATTCAAACCCACCACGACATCCACCAAGCGATAAACACCCGGTGACACAAAGTGCTAACATGCGGATGAGGATGACCCGGGGAGATTTTCCAGAAACACCATTCAACCATTAGGTTATATTAGGGCTTCTAACTACAGCCGGTGTATGGCAATAAAAGAAAAATTGCGTCCTACATTGAGACGACAGAATAATACCCTCAAAAAAACCCCCCCCCCCCACACCCCCCCCCCCCCCCCCACACAAAAAATGACATGCCTCGGAAAGCAACATTTATCCTAACCTCACCTAATTGTACAATTGTTTAGAAAGAAGGACAATAGAAATCCTGACTCTTGCAAGGAACGTGTGTCCCTCAGCATACTTCAGAAAATCGCTACAGGTAGTATACGATCGGAATGGGTAGAATGAATTCGGAAATCACACCTAACCATCTGTGGCAGGGTTGCCTATTTAACCTCCAGGTCCTGCGGTTGAGCACATTGGCCATGAGTGCCCCAAGTTATGCTTCTCCCTCCAAACTGAATAGTCTCTAAAGAACTAATATTCTTTCTCTCTCTCACGACACTTCTCTCGAAAGGCATCTGAAGTGATCGTTCTGATTTAATCGCAGTTCATCATTAAAAATTTTTTTTTTAATTCGTAGATACAACTTACAGATCATGCTTCCTTGGATAGCAGAATTTCAGTAATAGCACAAGCAATTTAAATAATGAAGAAATTGACACGCTCCATTCTGTGTCTGCACCATGATACCGTCTCTGTTCTTGTTTCTCAAGTTCTTCTATGATTGTCCTTGTACTTGAACACGCCATACTATCGTCTTTCCTCCATAACTGACTTCTGTCTGTCTTGTCAGGCCGAGGCCATGTCACTTGCCTCGTACAGCCTTGCAGCCCGCCAATGGCTACGTATCTGCAGAACTATCCTTAGACTGGCTGCATCTCTGCTTAAATATTCCCTGCCTCTGTTTTCGCGGTTGCTAGGTAAAACTAAACAACTTTGAAAAAGTCCAGGTCACTCTGTATGTTTTTGACCTAAATTCCATAGCTGATATCTTCTGGACAATTTGACCCCTGAACTGTACTGTTTCTTTGCTACAGTTAATCATCAAATCATATCACATGTCGAACTCGGCCGAAAGCAATTTGCTTAAATGGGGTTTGTCTGAGAATTCAATACCTAATTGAATCTATTAACTCGGTGTTTGTTTAATTGACAGCACAGTGAGAAATTTGTCTGGTAATTTAATTCATGTTAGGTCGCTGTGACTATGTCTCTCTTAGCAGGTACACAATAGCTTACATAATATCTAGTGAAATGTGATTAGCGATGACTTTTGAAACCTGTTTTAAATGGGTTTTTTGCCAAAAGGAATAAACTCACGTTTCAAGTTTCAGAGGGATCACCAGTCTCGTAGAAAATTTTCCTCGTCGACAAATGTTTCGGGCCCCGATTCCAGACACTTTCGGAGGGGGGGCCACCCGAGTTTGAAACTGGGTGGTTCTTTGGGGCCCCCCGAAATTTGGATGGTGTTATTCTTTTCGGATAGGGGAAAAAACTTGGTGATTTGCAGAAGGTCT